TAACTTAACCACATATATATATATATATATATATTTATATACATTATATACATTATATATATATATACTACACTTCGTTTAGAGACGGCATCAGCGAGACAGAAGAGAGAGTCGTCGAAACGGGAAATGTGAAACGAGCGCGATGACGAGGCAATAGGTAATCTCCGCTCTCATGCCGAAGCGTGACGGAAGAAGGCGTATCCATACGGTTCGCACAAGAGCGCTCCACCTCGCGCCATTCTCTCGTCTCGTCTCTCTCTCTCTCGTCTCGTCTAGGCGTTAGGTGATACATCAGTGCGTTAAGCCGCGCGCATGCAGTCACGGCCTCAATGTAACGCGCGGAAGCCGGAGCCGGAGATCCGCGCATGCACCGCGATCATTTCCGTCATTTCGCTCGTTATACAATCGCGCTCGCCCGCGTGTTACCACGACACGCGCCGCCTATATACGTGCCGTCGAATCTTTCATATTTAATTAGCCTAATACGACGCATTCAACGCGACGCCCGTAGCGAATGCACACATCTCATCTATTAAAAATCTAGTCTTTCAGCCATCCGAATGTCATGCGCGTGAAACACGCCGCACCGGTAATTTCGTTTGCCGGTGTCGTGCCCGCCTGCTGCTGCCCGCCTGCCTACACGTGCCAGCTAATACGTACCTGCCTACGCGTGCCTGCTGAGACGTGCCAGCAGCAGCAGCGGGCGTCGGAACCCGTTAATACACGGTCTCAACTCGCATGCCGTCATCACCGCGTAATCTCTCCCCGTGAGAGCTATACTATCCCGAAAAGTTCTGCGTGCGTGCGTGCGTGCACAAGCATGCTAGCGCGTCGCGTGCGTGACAACGGAGGCGGCTTGACACACCGCTCGACGCCGTATAGCGTTTTCACCGGAGCATGCTCGTCGCATTTCGCTAATTAACTAAGAAATGCAGGTGGCGTTCGCGCGTTGAGAAGTATCGCCGTGGTGATTACGATGCGAGTTTTGCGTCGAAAATCTGCAAACGCACTTCGCAGCTTCATTATACGCGCATTGAGACGCGCTCGAGTGTTCGCAAGAGTGCGCGTAGAGGTGTTTCAAGCACGGCGACGACTTGCGAGCACACATTGAAAGCGAATTATCGAAAAACAAGTATGCGTGCATGCAAGAGACTGCGTGCAGCGGCGGTGGAGAAGAGGCGCCTGCACCTCGAGATTTGGGAGGAAGGGGATAAGATTTGGCATCGATAGCGCGGGATGTCGCTAGGTTAGTCGATGTAACACCCGTGGAGTCTCCCAGAGGAATAGACTTCTGCCCCTCCCCACGACCGAGAAAATGCAAAAGACACGGTCGACATATATACGGGGATTCGTGGCGGGTGCGGCGGGCAGGATAGCGGGTGGGTGGAAGAGAGAGCGAGAGAGAGAGAAAGATAAAGAGAGAGAGAGAGGGAGGGAAAGAGAGAGAGAGAGGAAGAAGAGAGAGAGAGAGAGGGAAAGAGAGAAAGAGTAAGCGAGAGAGGGGGAGAGAGAGAAACAGAGAGAAGAGAGAGAGAGAGACAGAGAAGAAGAGAGAAGAGAGAGAAGAGAGAGAGAAGAAACAGAGAGAGCGAGAGAGAGAGAAGAAGAGAGAGAGAGAGAGACAGACGACAGAGAGAGAGGAGAAGAGAGAGAGAGAGAAGAGACAGACATTACAGAGAGAGCGAGAGAGAGAGAGAGAGAGAGAGAGAGAGAAGGAGAGAGAGAGAGCGTGAGAGAGACAGACAGAGAGAGAGAGATGAGAGAGAGAAAAGAAAGAGCGAGAGAGAGAAGAGAGAGAAGAGAGAGAGAGAGAGAAGAGAGAGAAGAGAGAGAGACGAGACAAAGACAGGTCGTCAGGACGTACGCGTAGATGCGCCTAACGAAGCGAACATGAACCCACCCCGAACATGAAATGTCACTACAGCCATTCTTAGATGGGTGGGGTGGGTGGAGGGTGTGGGAGGTAAGTATATATACTATTTACGCACATCGTCTACGGTTATAATACACACGCATGCATCGCTCCCCCCCCCCTTCAGCCCGCACTACGCTAATGCCACTAAAGACCCACGCGTGATTAACATCGAGTGGCTTGGAATTATAGATGACGCTGCTTCTCACGTACGTGCAAAGCCGTATATAGAGATCTCTAGAGACCACCTACTAGATAGTATATATATACGGCTCTGCGTACGTGACACTTGACCCGTTGCCGGCTGCCTGACACTATCCCCTGATGATTATATCAGTTCGCACCATTTGACAATTTCCTCTTTCACCCGAAACCAATATCATATACGATTCTGCCGTTGCCAGGTAGATGCACAGACGCGCAGATAGACGCACTTACGGACGGACGGACAGACGGACGGACGGACGGACCGACGCATTTGCTATTCAATCAGCGAAATCTCAAAATGGCGGATAGGCTAAAAATGCTGCCGTTTGGCCGTGCTGCGAGACAAATTAAACTAGTGACACACGCGAGCAAATAGCGCTACCAACTCCATCAAACAAGCAAAGTGGATGCCTCTATGTGAACTACGGACAATTTCTGTGCGAACGGCGGTTTTTTAACTTACGACAGTAGCTGACAATTCGATATGACTCTTACCTTTCGTGCCTGTAGCAATGTAAATGTAAATTAATATATAACTATACAATATATACTATGAAAGTGCTCTCTCTCTCCTCTCTCTACTCATCTCTCTCTCTCTTCTCTCTCTTCTCGATCTCGTCTCTCCTCTCTCTTCTCTCTCTCTCATCTCTGCTCTCGTCTCTGTCAACTCGTCTCTCTTCCTCGCAATAAATTTATTTATAAATATAATATAGGCCTATATATATATAAATTATGTATATTATATTATATATATCATAAATGACATTTTTAGGCTATTACCCGTACATTTACCACGTTTTAGGATATCTCCCTAACATACATGCAGCATATGGAAACGCGATTCTGAGAGACATATCATCTTCGAAACGGTCTCTGCTAGCTGGCATATTATGGCCCAGAAGATCGCAGTCAAGCCATCCGCCAACAACAATCGTTATTCCAGCGAGCAGACACGATCATACACGCACACGCCATGATTTCATATTGCCGATGCTCATTAGAATTGCAAAAATTTCGCAGAGATTCCATCATCAAAGCCATTCATTATACGCGAGCCTGAGAAGGTCAGTAAACGCTCCACAGGCAACTTGAAGGTTTCATATAAACATAATCGCTCAAATAAATACGAAATCTCACTTTACTATCCCGAATTGTAAATGTTTTCTCATACTCCTCTCTTTCACGCTATTATTGCCGACAGTTTCTCGTAAATTCCGTACCGCAAATCTTATGTCAGTAATGTGCCAACACACGCTACGCGGCCGCCCATATCCTCACGCGCATCATGACACTTAAATATAAATATATATTTAAGTGTCAGTGTGCAGCGTGAGGAATGGCGGCCGGTAGCGTGTGTTGCACATAGAAGATTTGGACGGAATTTAAAGGAAATTGTCGGCAATAATAGGTGAAAGAGAGTATAGAAACATTAAGAATTTGGTAGTAAATAGATTTCGTATTTATTTAGCATTATATTTTATTGAAACGCTTCAAGTGCATGTGGTAACGCTAGGGTCTACTTCGCTGCCACATGATACCGCAGCCATCATGGCAGGGCGCAGCCAACCAATTAAAGCAATATTATCGGGTCGAACGCAGATCAAATTAACGTAATTGAGGTATACATGTATGCGCACGTCACACCATACATACGTACAACCGTAATATAATTAGGGTAAGAGATAAGCCCCTTAATTTAACGTGTCACTCTTAATATCGCTCCGCAACCGTATATCCGCTCTAAGCCGCGCCTCCGACAAAAGCTTAGTCGTTCGTTGTCGCCCTCTTGCATTCGGCGATTCACCCAGCTCCGCACCCTCCCCCTCTCTCTATTTCTTTCTTTCTCCCCACACCCTTTCTCTCGCCCTTTCTCTCTCTCTCTCTCTCATATTCTTTTTCTCGATGTACGTCATCCGTAAAATCCCGGCAGAGTATGTCTGATTAGTGAGTAATCCCGCTATACATTCGCGTATTCTGGTATCGTTGCGGAACGACCGTGACCACGATTTAACTCGACGACAAAACTTATTACGCGACTATACGACGAAACTTATATTTGGATAATTATCGCAATGATAACGCTACGATTTTTCTGACGGCAAAACTTACGAAGCTTAGGGGAATTGCATTAGCAACGATAGAGCTGCGATTTCTTCCGACTACAAAACTTCTATACGACCAGGAGCTAATAATGACAAAGTTGACAGACTTTGTCACCATTAGCTCCTGATACGACGAAACTTGAGGGGATTGCGTTTGGATAATGGCAGGCAGTAATAATAAAGCTACTACGAATTTCCCGACGACGATTCGAGACAAACCGTCGGGATCAAAACCAGAGGCAATCTTAGATGCTTCGTAATCGGTCTGAGAACAGCCCCCCCCCCCGCGTGCCAAGTCACAGTTTGCATATAAGCAGTGTTGCTCACGCGTGCACGCGCTCGTACCCCAGTCTGATCTCTGTCCCCAATACAGATTAGGCTGTCATTTTGACGTCTTTACGCTCGCATTTTTCACTTAGCCGCCCCTGTATTATTTCCCGAAGGAAATATATTACGTATGTTCCGTACAAAGTATGCCCCCCCCCGACGACTCACCTGTAATTTGAACGAGCGAGTCGGTTCTGATTCGGCCGAAAGCCGTCTCGGCGACGCACGAGTACATGCCGGCGTCCCGTGACGTCACACAGTCGAGAACCAGCCGCGAGTTCGTCGTCGCCAGGCCGAGCTGCGGCTGCGCGTAGCTCTCGACGTGTGCGTCGTCGCTGGACGGGCCCTGTATGATCCTCTCTCCGTCCTTCAGCCAGTGGATCTTCGCCGGCGGGCTGCCGCCGGCGTGGCACTCAAGGCTAATGCTCTCGTAGGTGTTCACGTCGACTTCGTTGGGCGGTACGACGCTCTGGAATTCCAAGCGGGGTTCGACGAGAAGACCTTCACCTGTGTTTGAGAGAGATGTGTGTGAGAGAGGGAGAGAGAGAGAGAGAGAGAGAGAGAGAGAGAGAGAGAGCGTGAGAGAGAGCGCAAAAGAGAGCAGGCGAAAGATGGAGAGCTAGCGAGAAAGAGAGAGCGCGCAAGAGAGAGTGAGAGAGAGCGCAAAAGAGAGCAGGCGAAAGATGGAGAGCTAGCGAGAAAGAGAGAGCGCGCAAGAGAGAG